ATCTTGTGTTAAGGTGATCAATTAACATATCAGCCTGATCATCATATCTTTCATCATTATCAACAAAGGGATTAAAAGTATATTCAGAAGTATTAAAATTTGAGTCATTACAATCGTTTTCCTCAGATAATTGATTAGAGAATGGAAGATACAAAAATTCATTATCGTTTATATTTAAATTTGTATGAGAGAAGACGTTGACAAGAAAGCAAGAATAAAGAAAAGAAAAAGCAAACAAGGTGAACAAACAAGTAAAAAAGTACATTTACATATAATAGATGTAATTGAGGAAACATGTAAACGGTGGTACACATTGTCTAACTATACACTTAGATTACATTGTTAGTTATATTATACAGTTTGACCTAACACTATTAGGTCAAAGAAGATATCATTGTACAGTTCAAGCTTCCAGGTCTTGCTGAAGCCGGGAAAGATCCTGCCGAGTGCAAATAATTAATTTTTTCATGCTGTTGGTAAGTACAAAGATTTTTCCGTCTAAGGTCCAGGTAGATTTAATTGATTTAGCATGCCTGGTCTTTATATCTCGAAATAACTCCGAACGTTTCAAAGCAAGATTTTCATGTAAAAAGTATTTGGTGCCTTTAAATTGTTTCTTTGCATTGAAAACTTCTCTTCTCTTGTAATTAGAGAATTTGATGATAATACGTCTAGGTTTGTTAGCTTCGGATCCCTTGTTAGGACCTAGTCTATGAGTTCTATCGATATCGGTGTTTTCAACGCTGACATTTAGCTTTTCTTTGAATACCTTCATCACTTCCATATCCGTGTTCTCGTTGACCGTTTCTGAAACTCCGTGGAGTATTAGACAATTTCGACGAGAATATTGTTCGGCTTCATCGATGTTGTTTTCTAAGTTCGTAATTCTTTCTTCTAGACTAGTTATCATCAGTGAATCTATGAAGATTAGCTACGACAACCTGTTCTCCCAGAAAAATCCAATTGAATAGTTTAAAGCTTAAGAGGCAATATTTCAAGGCATAATTCATATTAGTAGGGCGGAATTAAGCTAAATTCACATCGGCTCCGAGCCGAAATTCCGACCGTGTTTCCGATGCGCTGAACGCCAGCGTCTCTATTCCTACACACTGATTCGATTTTCGTGTCGGCTCTACCGGCAGGCCTTCCGATACAAAAATCGGATTCGGTGTGAATGTTTAGTGATTTGGTAAAAATGATTAATGTTTATGACATCGTTGAGTAGGGCTTATAGTATCTAATGGTTTTTTAATTTATATATTGTATCTTTATTTGAACTAATAGGCCTAATGCATATGAATTAGATAGTACACATATCTCCAAGTGTCGAAATGCACGCCTGTGTATTATACTTATTTGAGATTAATCAGTGGACCTTTCGGCATATGAATTTGTGATTGTATTTAAGGTTAATGATAGAATAACACAATGTTGAAATAGAATTGCAAAAGCAAAAGACATACAGTAGGCATATGAATGATGCATTACGAAAGCACTCTGTTCTCAAAAGCTATTACTGGGTGTCAATTTGAATACAGTGTCGCTGTATGCATATTCTGGCCTGTCACTTGGCGTGTGTACGTAATGAAGAATAATTGCTATTTAATTTGATAAATTAAAGTCTGATTCGTTTGAAATTACTGTGTCTTGTCTAATGTCTTGTAATAAATAACTCATTTGTTTTGTTGACAACATCCGGGTTTTTTTTAAATCAAGTTCGTTTGACAGTTCCTGCCTCTGATGACTTCTTACAATGGTTCTCTTGTTACCATGGTTACATGGTGGAGATATCTCGAGTGTCGGAAATGACGTTTTGTAGCCGATGGCACATCTGCCGCGTAGCCCCGTGCGACAAATTTTTAATTTAATCTGGGGTCATGCAGTAAGTAATGTTAATAAGTACCATTTTGCTATCATCATACCTGTACGTTTTCTAACTTCAGTACAGAACCGAGATACGGATATATCTGCATTGTTTTTTAGTATTTTTGCTTTACACCCCCACCCACTCCCAACATCCCTGGAATAGAGAGCAAATATCATATGCATGTAAGTACCTACTTGTTTAAATATTTCTAATAAGATGTCTAGAATTATTCGTTATGCATTATTTGAATATGCGTGAATATGGGAAAATCCGCAAGTCGATGAGGATTAATTTATCTTCCTTGAGTTTTCTAGTACACATCATTATTTAAACCCTATCGTACTATTTTTTTAATTGTTAGATAAGCCGTGATTATACTTCTGTTACAGAGAAAAAAACAATTACGTATATATTTGAGGCTATTATGATGACGTTTATATAAACCAACTTGTATCTGCAATTTCAAATGGCGACAGTTGACTTACCGATACAAGATGACATCTGTCTTGGATTGCTAATATTTGTTATCTGCTTGAGCCTACCTCTCCTGATAACGATTGTGATTGGGAACCTTGTCGTCATACTTAGTATTTACCGTAATCAGGAATTGGCGAACACCTCCAGTTACATTTTTATATCATCGTTGGCACTTTTCGATTTTTTAACTGGTTTGATAGGATTACCTTTTGCCATCGTTGGATTTCTTCTTCGTCGACAGTTTCTTTATAGCGTGAACTGTGCAATATGGTATTTTGCACCATGTATGATATTTGTACAAGTCTCAGTACTGAACATGGTATTGATCACATTCGATCGATTCATTGCGATTAAATATCCCTTTCGATACCATAAGTGGATGTCGCCTGGAAGAGCAATTCGCATTTCTATCTTTGCAGATCTATTCGGTATTCTCTTTGGAAGTATGTCATTCATTGTCACTGCCGTAGCTGCCATTTTTGTTCCATTACCAAATGTTACTTATGAATATGATTGTGAACAATTTCCCTTATATGAATATTACGGTGCACCCGCATATAATTACTTAGCAAATCCGCTTGGAGGTTTGACGATTCCTACTATGTTTATTCTCTATGCGTATATTTTCACAATTGCCTCAAAGAAGGCGAAGGAAACTGCTACACGACATGGGAAAAGAGTCGCCACTCGAGAAATGAAAGTAACCAAGACCACAGCCATAGTACTTTTGGTTTACACTTTGTGTATTGCGCCAAGTGTCATTAAAGGTATTTTCCAGGAATATATCGAAAATGGTTCCAATTGGCTAGTGTGGTACCCATGGTTTGCGGATTATTTAGCAACGTCCAACTCGATGGTGAATCCGTTTATATATGCCGGAAGAAGTAAAGTGATGAGACACGAATTTAAGGAAACTATTAACATTTTCGTTAATAAGATTTGTAAAAGGTCGACTAGAAAAATTGCACCGAAAGAAAAATCAAAAATAAAATCAATGACTATATAAACGAAAGGCCTAGTAATAGTAAAACCAGGAGTGGATTCAGTAGGGGGGGGGGGGCTGGCCGGCACCGTCCCCACCCCCTTTTTGGAAAGTTAAAAAAAAATTAAAGAAAAATTTAAAAAAATGATCGCCCAAAACGGCTCAGTGGTTATTTTCGGGCGTCTAAAAAACAATTTCGCAGGGGCATGCCCCTTGGACCCCCTGGTGGTGTTATCTTGATCGGCCCCACTTTCGCCCCCCTCCCCTTTTCGGACATATCTGCATCCGCCCCAAGAAACATTTTCTTTTACTGAATGCAATCATTTCACCGAGGCACGCACTTCATTTTGATTATCAAATCAATTAATTTATTTTTCACTTAAAAATTGTCACAGAGTGCACAATAGAGGGAAGGAGGTGTTCACTGAGTGCTGACTATTGACTATTGAGTGGATTTTGGGAGGTTTGCACTGTGTGTACACAGTATGTTCACGGTGTGAACAATTTGGAATAAAGTACACACTGTGTTCACATTGCGTCCAACATTGATGAAACGAAATATGGAAAGAAGGAAAATGTTCATTTTTATACTTACAGTAGTGATTTTGTAATGTTTATACTATAGCATTACCGCAAGATGGTTTAGAGTTAGATGCTTTAATCGTATTTTAATTCCCAACAAAGCCTTAGTGGCCCAGTTGGTTAAGGCGTCTGTATAGACAGCAGAAGGTCTGGGGTTCGAATCCCGGTTGGGGGCACCGATTTTTCACATTCGCAGATTTCTCTTAAACGTTTAAAATGTATTTAGGCCTACATATATTTATAGCATTATACTACAAGATGGTTTATTATATCACACACACACACACACACACACACACATATATATATATATATAGGTCTATGCATTGTAACTTCTAAAACTTTATTGTTTTTATAATTCATTTCGGAAACAAAAACAAAAGAAACAAGATAATCTGAACTTAAAAACCTACGCCCTATTGCGCCATATCTATGTACTGCGGAAATAATGGCCCACGGTCCGCCAAACGAGGCCTCGCGTGACAAGCCCATCATGCGGGTGAGTTTGCACGCCGTGCTGGCCGCTTCCAGTCCGCCAGCCAGAATTTGACACACCCTCAGCAAACACAAAACGTTCATATAACGTTCGAGAACGTTGTGGTTAGGTATAACCAGAGAGTGCCCTCACTTAATCATCGAGCACTCAAACTTCACCTCTCCCCCTCGCCATATTTCAATACTCCTAGATAAGCCACAACTCTATTGTTTTATTCGTTTGGTTTACGACGTTCGTCATGTGGTGTGACAATGATTTCCTGAACTTTACTTAACAAGACATGGAGCCTCAAGTTTGAGTAGATTTGTCACAACCGAAATATTCCATTGCATTAATGTCATTTCTGACCGTCAAACTGTGCGAAATAGAAGAGATTGTAAGCTTTGAATCAATTCTAGTCCTATCATCCTCGGCTGGAGGGAACTCTTCGAGGGATATCTTCTCATCATCAATTTCTTTTTTGAATGCAAACTTTGGCGCTTTTCGTTTTATGAACTTTTCCGCAGTAAATGAAAGCTTTTTCACTTTCTTTGTATTGTAATCTACGATGGCCTTAAATATGGCAGTGAGAACGCTGAGACCCGTTATAAGGTACAATATTGTCACATATCTCAATACAACTTGGTGACGATGACGTTCAGACGCTCCAATCACGTAGTCTCCAAATCCAATCGTCGAAAGCGATATGAAACAAAAATAATAGCTCTCGTTTACAGTCCATTCTTCCATCAAGGTAAGACCCCAGGCTGGTAAACTAATCAGACAGGTAAACGTTAAGAGCGACATCAGCAAAGCAGTGACAATCCTGATTAATCGATTAAGCCTATTCTGTTCTTTTCTACTCCTGCATACATTCTTAGTAAAAAATCGAAAACAAACTTTCCACAATTTCATAAATATTGTTCCAATATGAGAGACAAAGACAGCGGTTAGTGGAATACCGATGCACGCGTACAAAATACAAAACCACCTTCCTAAATTCGTCTGTGGCACCATATCTCCGTAACCTATAGGAGAAACAAATTTAATAAAATATAAATAAAATTATTATTTACATTGTTATCAATAGTAAAAGTATATTATTATGGTTATTTTATTATTATTATTATTGATATCATTATAGTATTATTTTTATTATTATAATATTATTGTTATAATTATTATTTTTATTATTGGTATTATTGGTCAGGTTCACACAAAAGCACTACTAGTATCCGAATCGGGAGCACGCCCGATCGGTTTGCGATAACCGTTACCAGGATCCGGATGCGCTAGTGGTTAGCAAGCGCTATCGGTTAGCAAGTTGAGCACGTTTCCATTATCAACCAATCACACGTACGCGTTTCCAATTTCCTTCACCAGTGATTCGACGATCATCATCTTCTTGGTATCTGGATCGGGGATTGTCTTGTATGAACGCAGGATCCAGATCCTAACCGGAACATAGCCATTATTAATATATTCTCCTTACATTTTTAATTTTCTATAGCTTTATTGATTGTATGTACTTGTAATTTTATTGTATTTTATTGTATGTGTTGCTGGGCCCTGAAGGATAAAAATGCTTTGGCACTGATCAGGTCACCGAGGGGAAAAGAAAAAAATAATAAATAATTATTATTTATTATTTAAGTTTTCTTTTGGTTTTGTATTCTTCCGTTACTTTGGCTGTTGTTTCTCAGCGCATGAAGACAATATTGTAGGCCAAAGTATATAGCCATTACCATTACCATTAACAAATGCTTGCGGCACACTAAAAAAAACTGATATTTTTTTGCAAGTATTCCTGTTTGGATTCTCAGCATTATTCTTCCGATGACGACTGAGAAGCAACTGAACCGAAACTCTCAACTACTTTGTAGTAATGCTAATGTAGGCCTAATGCCATATACTGCAACGAGTTACAGTTAAAAGTCCCGTAAACACAACGTAAAAATAGATAAATAGTAATAAAAGTGATCCACAACACAATAATGTTATAATCGTATCAAGTATTATATAGCCCTTCAACCAAACGTTCCCCTTTTCAGTTATAAGCCTAGGTCTATATATATATCAAAAAAGGGTAGGGATTCGAACCGGTTACCGTTCAATATGGAGAAACTGTGCTCAAATAATATTGAAAATGATGTAAAGTTCAATTCAATTCTATTGATTGACATTGACATTAATTTGCTTCCTTTTCACGTTCGTCACTGCCTATCAACAAAAGGACGTGCGCATACGATCCCTCGCTATTGACTATTGAAGTAAGAAACTCTAGAGGGCGCAGTTGTTATTTTTATACTTTAGTTTTGCGCTATTATTATATATCATATTAATATTTTATGATTTTGTATGTATTATATATACATCACGGTGCACAATACAATATATCACACGCCTTTATAGTTACTTAGGCGGCGGCGCTAGAATACTAGTAAATGAGCTATGCTCTTTGATGACGTAAGACAATATAGCTGATAATGAGGTGAGGATGAGGTATTATTTTTGGATTTGGTTACACATTAACTATTTTAGCGTAATATTTTTGAAGGTGATGGCACCTAGGGTGACCGCTTGATGTTAAATGAAACCCCCAAATTTTAAATGTAAAGCTCTTACCGATTGTCGTAACAATGGTTGCACTAAAGAAAAAGGTTTCATGAAAGTTTTCCCAGCGTGTTGAAGAAACGTTGAATAAATGGTGTACATGGCGTCCATACGATAAACCCGTAACTGCAAATATCAATGTCAAAAGGTCTTGTTCGTCAACGCAGTTATATTTCACGCAAAATTGTCCAACAAGCTCGACAGCGTTACTATCGACCTGCGCATGATACGATGATTCGAAATACCTGAAACATAAAGCGCCTATAGTCAGATAACCGGAAAACAATAGTAGCAATAATATAAACAGACCAAATTGCTTCTTATTTGAAACAAACGCCATTTTGTTCCCTATCGCGAACGGAATGATAAGCGTTGTGCTTTATTAATTGTGTACAACATTTCTAATTCTAATTTCTAATGGCGTTTCAATGTTATGTCTACACTGTACGTAGAAATGCTGGTAGGTTATGCAATAGCAACAAACAATAACTCTAAAAAAATTAAGCAATTACTAATGCACTGTGTAAATAGAGTTTTTGTGTTGTTGTACAGTAGCAATCAGTAATTTGCAATACGCTGAGATTTGGGTAACTTCATTTCTCATACATATACACACACATACATATACACACACATACATATACACACACATACATATACACACACATACATATACACACACATACATATACACACACATACATATACACACACATACATATACACACACATACATATACACACACATACATATACACACACATACATATACACACACATACATATACACACACATACATATACACACACATACATATACACACACATACATATACACACACATACATATACACACACATACATATACACACACATACATATACACACACATACATATACACACACATACATATACACACACATACATATACACACACATACATATACACACACATACATATACACACACATACATATACACACACATACATATACACACACATACATATACACACACATACATATACACACACATACATATACACACACATACATATACACACACATACATATACACACACATACATATACACACACATACATATACATATACATACACATACATATACATATACATATATATGTATACATATATACTTTTAGAAGTATATATATACATATACATATATATACATATACATATATATATATACATATACATACACATATACATACACATACACATATACATACATATATACATATACACATACATACATATATACACATACACATACATATATATATACACATACACATACATACATACACATACACATATACACACATACACACACACACACACACACATACACATACATATACGCACATATACATACACATACATACATATATATATACATATGTACATATATACATACATACATATGTACATATATATACATATATATACATATATATATATACATATATACACATATACATATATATATATATATACATATATATACACATATACATATATATATACATATATATATATATATAC